AATAAATCCTTTTTGTGATTTTTGATTGGTTAATTTAAAATAAAATGATTTTTTGTGTTGATTAAAAAAAAACAAAATAAGAAATTAAAGAAAAATATTAGAAATAACCAAATGGGCCTGCTGTCAGCAGATATGGCTGGGGATGGATCCAGAAGATGATGACCCTCAGAAGGTGAGGCGCGTTGGATCTAGTTTTGGCTGATGGATCCAGAAGATGATGATCCTCAGAAGATGGGGTGCACTGGATCTGGTCCTGACTGGTGGATCCAGGAGGTGATGACCCTCAGAAGGGGTAGGCGCTGGATCTGGATGGTGGATCCAAAAGATGATAACCCTCAGAAGGTGAGGCGCGCTGGATCTGGTTCTGGCTGGTGGATCCAGCAGATGCTGAACCTCAGAAGGTGTATATGCTGGATCTGGTGAAAACAATGGAGAAAATGCCAAAAGCTCACACTTGGGATCGAACCCAGAATAATGAGCTTCTGACTTCCTTCTTCTGACCAACTACGCTGGATGCTAACTTGTTAATACAATAAAAACAAATAATATATCAAAAAAACAAGTTTCTGGCCAAAATAACACGCCAGAATTTAAACCAGCCAGTCAGGTTGTGACACACTGTTGTCTTCTTCCTTGGAACTTTCGTTTTAGGTTCTGAACATTTACCTACAGACGCAGGTCTGTTGCTGAAACCTGTGTCATTCAAGAATCACGCACGTGTAATATAAATTCAATTGGGGACCATGAATCAACTGAGTTTGAAGCTCTGATCATCATGGTACCCATTATCAGACCTAATTTTGCTTGAAACCCAAAACCCCAAATTGGAGCACGAAGGCCTAACAATGGCAAAAGCTTATTCCTGCACTGTAACTCAAATCAAACTATCCAGAAACATTGCAAACATGATGATGAACACAAATATGTAACTTAAACATGCTAAATATTCAAGAATTACAGTAATCAAATTTGGATATTTATGCAAACCGTGAGAGTGATAAGGCGTGATTCTGGATGTTTTAGCGCCTGCAAATGATTGGGAATGCTTCCTGAGATGCCCAAGAATTAATTTATGGCTTTGAAACTCCTTGATTAGCCCTCTATTCCAGAATTTGGACCTCTCTTTTATCAAAAATTCTGAGTTTTTCTTCTGGCCGTTTCACGCTTCCAAAAACCTTGTTCTTTTGATCTGCCAAGCTTTATTATATATCCCTCAATGAATTAGGGTTGCAAAACAAATTGAATCTTGAAGCTTTGATGAAATTTGATTTGATTTTCAATTTGTATGATATCCTTCCAAATTTGGCCTAATCATGCCAATCTCGTGCCAATTAGCCTTGATATGATCTGATTCTGATATGCCAGCATTATGAGCTTGTGATTCTGTCCAAAAATCCAATCAAAACAAATCTTTGTTATTATTTACCAATGATTTGATTTAATTCAATTTTTAATAAATAAAAAATCAAAATAAAATAAATAATGAAGCAAATAACATGTGAGTGAGAATTTAGGTCGTGGACCCTGTTGTAAGTGAGGTGCAAACATAAAAAGTTGGGCCCATTTAGCAAAAAATGCAAATTTGAGCACATTTGACTTTTGACAATTTTGCATAAATGGTCAACTTGGCCAATGCATAACTCTCTCAATTTTGACCCTAGAGAGGTGTTCTTGGACTTTTTAGAAAGCTTAGGATGTCCTCTCAACAAACCGTTTGGTCTCATCTCAATTGAGTCTTCCATGTTCATGTATGAATCTTTGACCAAAAAGGTGTTTTTGTTGACTTTTCAAAAGGACCTATAATGTCAAAATTCATATCTTTTTGTGAGTGCATATTATGAACTTGTGAGCTAAAGATGAATTGTAGGGAATTGCATCCTCTTCAAAATGAGCTTTGGATGGGTCATTTCTGATAAAGTATGAGAAATTTATGCTTGGTCAAAGTTGAGTTGACTTTTCTTGTAAAACCCCAATTTAGCAACTTTTGGGTTTTGATGAATTGTGAGCAATCCTTGAGGAATCATAATCAACCCTTGATAAAATGATGGATAATAATTCAAAAGGAGGATGTTGACCAAAAATCTTGAAGTTTGACTGTGTATGAGCCCCAATTGACTTTTGACCTAATATAGTTGATTTTCAGACATTTGAGCAATTGACTGGGCAAACTTCTTCTGCAAGGCTTGAAACTTGGCATGGATGATCTTGAGAATATATTAGGACAATGGTGAACATTTGAGTCCTTTGTGGTTCATACATCCTAATGAAAATAGAAACCCTAATTTGAGATAGACTGCCTTAGGAGAGAGTTTGTCTGGTCAACTCTTGGAATTCCTTGAGCAATTTGGGGACCTCACTTGCCATGTGTTGAGAAATATGGGAGGACAAATTTTGGGGTACAACATCATGTATTAGGTAAAAAGTCTTAGTCATCTTCAATCAAAACCTTAATTTTAGCAAATTTTAAACTTTGATGATTTGAGAGCTTCCCCTGAGGAATCATGATCAACCCTTGATCAAATGATGAATATCACTTCAAAATGTTTATGTTGACCAAAAATCTTGAAGTTTGACTGTATGCTGACCATAGTTGACTTTTTGTCCAATACAATTGATTTTCAGACATTTGAGCAGTTGACTAAGCAAATTTGAGATGTAAGACTTGAAACTTGACATGAACATCCTTGAAGACATATGAAGAACCATGAAAACCACTTGAGACTCTTGAAACCCAAACATCCTCGAAGAACACCAAACTCTAGTTGTGAATTCATTGCTTAGAAGGAGAATTTTGACCAATCAACTCTTGAGTAGTTTTGAGACCTTATGAGAATATCTTGAAGAAAATGAGAGGACAAATTTTATGGTACAACATGCCGACTTGTTCTCCAAGTATTGGACTGATGGTCACTTTCCACTAGAGAATCACTTTTTCGTATACAATGGAAATGATCTCTCTGATATCAGAAAGCCCAATTAATGACATTTATCAACAATCTGGGATATACATGGGGAGCTACCCCGGTGATGGAGGTTGATAAAAAACACTTTATTGAGGTCCAATTTTTAATAAGAGCCCACTCTCGGGAAGAGAGAAAAGCTATTTTTGGCAAGCTTCAGGTCTTTTGAGTTTTAAGATATTTTTAACCTACATGTCTTTGATGTATATGTTTTACTCGTGCCAGTGTGCAGAAAAATCACAGCGAAAGGACTCTCAAACGAGGCGACAATGACCTACTTTGTTTCCAAAGATACATTTAATAGGTGTCTATATATGTCTCCTCTCAAAAATTGATTTTTACTTAAGAGTTTCAACATATGAAGTACGATGATCAATACCCAAAGAATAATGCAAACAACATATCGAAAATTCTAAACCATTATAACTCATAATTATTTGTATTATGGTAGAAAGTTCAGTAAAAATATATTCAATAAATGTTTAAAGCAAGTTTTGGCTTTAAATTTAGCTTTTAATAAAAAAAAATCTTTACATAAAAAACAATCATAGACAATAATTAAGAAATAACAATATCATTGTATAAAATGAGTGCGCATAAATCTCCAAATATCCATATGAATCATGTCAAACATATTAGAGCTAAAACTAATAATAACATAAAAGGAAAGTTTACGTCGCTTATTAATATATAATATTGGGTAAAAAATAATATAAAGATAGTCTTGCGAATTTTCTAAAACTAAAAAAAACTATAAAAATAATAAGAGATTAATTGGTATGCACTACCAGTGTAAATTTTTTTACATAATCAATATATCTCAACTATTCATAAGTGTTTTGGACTGACCCAACAATTAGAATTGGTCCAATCCACTTCCACCTCCAATGTGGCCCAATAACTCTGACTCATCAGCTCTGATCCTCCGTCGGGCATGCCTGATCGATCGATCCCCAAGCGCAGCGACACCAACTCGCCCCGAGCCTCACGCCTGCCCGTTACGGTAGCTCCCTCCTCGGTCTGCTCGCTACACATCGAGCAGACTAACGCTCAAAACACGTATGCCCGCCATCTCATCTTTGCTCAAAACAACAACTAGTTACGAGCACGATTACCCGTTTTGACCAGGTCCTGACAGTTACCTATTTTCACGGAAACTAATAGCTAGGCTCAAAAATAGGAATCAATGGCTACGCACCTGAGGCATTATATAAACCCTCACACTTCTGAGAGACAAGTATCCAATATTCATACTAAAAACTCTAATATCTTTTTGCATCTATTCTTACTTGATCGTCGGAATACCTTGCATGTACACCTCTTCCTCTCCTCATATTTCTACCCAAGCAGAAGTCATCATCAAGACTCACTTTTGAATTATTAAATATTAAATATACTACTTTTATTATAATTAACTTTAGAATTTGTTCATAAAATTAGGATGACCGTGCATGTCTTTAATAACTGAAATTGAATGAATTATTAAAGTTAATAAACTTGAATTAGAATACCCGACAAAATATTTAATCAAACTTTATGATCCGTTTATAAAAAGCTCTACCCAAAACAAGTATACCTTCTTTGCTACATGCCTATATACCCCGACCCGAAACAAGTTTACATTTCTTCGTCCCTAGCTTCCTCACATATCACGACCCTAACACTATTTTTCTCTCTGTTTTGTTCCGGCGTTTTCGCCCATAACCCCTTCAAACGAATTTACTGCAAAAGTCCTCACTTTTTCAATCTCTCCCTTTTCTCCTCTTAATGTGTAGTAATTCATATATATCTTAGCATTTGTTTCTTTTTCTTTTCAATTTTCTCGTCTTTTTTTTCTTCTTATCTCGAATTTTATTTTTCTGCTTCTTCCGATTCTGGTTCCGCCGCCAAGTTTTTCTCAATTCCTTTTGATTTTCTCCCAGAACTTCAAAGGTTCGTATTGTTAACATTCCTTATGAACTAATTAGGGTTTTTGTGAGATTTGTGTTAATTCAATTAATTGATTTTGTTGTTTTGATTAATATTTAGGGTTTTTGAGATATGGCGAATGAAGGTTCTCATACCGAGACCTTAGCTCCGCTGGAGTCGCATCTGTTCGAGGTAACGATTGTTAAATTAAATCCATGGCAATGCCAATGCTTCTTTGTGAATCAGTATAGGTTTGAAAATGTAACATGGTTATGTGAAATTGTTAATTACTTAAGATTCATCTAAACCTTGCATTTAATTGAAAAAATTGTGATCCTAGTATGTTAATAAGAGTTTGAATTTATTATTTTGATATTTTCTGGAGAAATATCTGATGTGATCCTGTTCTACAAACAGTCGTGTTTTAGAAAATAATACTATATATACATGACATTAATTCTCGAATCTGTACTATCACAGCCTTTAGACATAAATGTATATCTATTTAATTTAATTTAGTTATCATTGTTTTCATGCCGCCATTTTTTCCAGCTTTGGACAGTTTTTTTTTTAATATTTGGAACCAAAAAGCTACTATCTTGTCTGTCGCATTTAATGCACACGTGTTTCAACCGACTTTTTAATTGCTGTTGGATTCACGTTGCAATTCTTGATATTGAAGAAAAGTATGGACATGTGGTCGCAATTGCGATCGTGGAGGTCTCCCAATCTTTATATTGCAGCCGCGAATGTGGTTGCAGTTTACAATTTAAAACTATGCCGCCAATGCGGTTGTAATTGCGATCATGGAAGCTTCTGAACTTTTTTTATATTGAAGTTGTTGTCTGCAACATAAAACTACGGTGTCGATAGTGGAACTTTGATTTGTCTTTATGCTCTGCATATTGGTTATGCTTTAAATGAGTAATTGATGTCTCCTTTTTGTCGTCTTTATAGAATCGGCTTGTTGATGCCAGCCAACATCAGACATCTTCGTATGCTCCCACGACATCCGGGCCTGAAGCTGTATCATGGACTGTGCAGAGCTCCACAGCGAATGGAGTTTATCCTAATCCAACATACCAGTATGATCAGCATCCGCAGCCACCTGGAAGAAGCGTTCAAGATGGTCAAAGTGTATCGTCAGTTGCTGGTAATACATCAAATTTGGGAACAGCTAATGCACCACAAGATTACAATGCATACACATCATATGCAAATTCTTCTAATCCATATGGTTATGGCAGCAGTACGGGATACTCAGGCTACTATAACAGCTATCAGCAGCAGCAACCTAATCATGCTTATTCACAGCCTGTAGGAGCATATCAAAATACAGGTGCTCCTTATCAGCCTATTTCTTCCTTTCAGAGTACTGGGTCTTATGCTGGATCCGCAACTTATTCAAGCACTTATTACAATCCTGCTGATTATCAGACTACTGGAGGTTACCAAAACAGCAATGGATATACAAATCAAGCGCCGGTGTGGAACAATGGCAGTTATTCAAGTTATTCCTCTCATCCATATACAAGTTACGCCCCAGATTCCAATAGCTCGTACAGTTCTGGTGCTGCAGCAACTCCAGTGCAGTATCAGCAACAATACACGCAATGGGCAGACTACTACAGCCAAACAGAAGTCAGTTGTGCTCCAGGGACAGAAAACTTGTCTGTCCCAAGTTCATCTACTTCGGGATGTCCCGTTCCTGCAGCTACTAGTAGTTATGCAACTCCAAATAATCAGCCTCCACAATCATATCCACAATATTGGGGGCAAGAGTCCAGCACTCCTGCTGTGCCTTCTTTTCAGGTTTGAACATCACTGAGAAAGTTTGGACAAACCAACAGTGTAACAGTTTGGCTCGAAGGAACAGATAAATTGCTATTTGTTCACGCCAAATTGATTTTGTTATGATTTTAGCCCCTACATTACAAAATTAATCCTTTACGTTAGGTCTTGTGTGTTGCGATTTTATTCATATTTTAGTATATTTGGTTATCTAATCTTTGTCATGCTTCAGTTGCACAAGATTGTTGCATTTGATTAGTCAGTTGTTTTGTAGTTTTGCTAACTTAATTAACTTATTAACTTCATGTTTGTTTCTTTTGGTGGCCAGCCTGCTGCAGTAAATAGTGGTGATTATGACGGTTACTGGAAACATGGCGCCCAAACTAGTTCTCAAATTCACCAAACTAGTTCTCAAATTCTCCAAACTAATCCTATTCAACCAAACTATCAAAGTCATTTGGATTTAAATTCTTCTTATGATAAATTTCAGGATCAACAGAAGACAGTATCTTCTCAAGGAACCAATTTGTACTTCCCTCCTCCCCCCCCTCCCCCTCCCCCTCAACAGGTTAATCTGGCGCCCTTACAAAGTGCTCCACCTTTGGATACAAAACAAGTAAGCAAGTTTCAGATCCCAACAAATCCTCGAATTGCTTCAAATTTGGCCTTCGAACAATCTAAGACCGAGAAAGATAGCTCCACATCCAGTGCAGCCATGAAACCTGCTTATATTGCTGTTTCTTTGACAAAACCAACTGAGAAAGTATCATCTAATGATGCTGCTAATTCTATACTTAAGGTAGACCTAAACAATAATTTCACTGATTTTATCTCACTATAATGCGAACTCACTATCACTCTGCCAATTCATTTATTTTTCATTTTAATGGAAAATGAAATGCATAACTTGAAGGAATTTCAGTAGTGAAAATTTCACTGTACAATTTTTTGAAAATGGGAATAAAGTCAAAATAAGGTGCAACAATTTTGTCATTTTTAGTCAAAAAGGAAAAAAAAGGGTTTGGAGGATAAGGAACAAAATTAGAACACCAGCAAAGCTAAATTATGCAATCTGTGAGGGAAAATCCCTTAAAAAGACCAACTCTTATACTTGCTAAATATTTGCTTTGTTTATAGAACTTAATTCTCGCTAACATAGTACTGGACATCATAATTTGGTTTGCAACGTGTTGGCACTAAGAACCTACTTTTGAATTTACAGTAGTTTTTTGGAATTGATTACAGGCATGAGCGTTTCATATATTGCAAACCAAATTATGATGGTTTTATGTTTGGTTATCGGCATTTTATTTAATGGCATGTCTCGATTTGAAACAAAAAATTTTTGGACATGTATCCTTACTCAATATGATGCATTCCGGTTCACAATGATAAATCTTGATTCATTATGATTAATCATGAATTGAACATTGTGTAGCCACTGCTAGCCAGCCCATTTTAATGGCCAACCACTTCTCTTTTGTTATTTGATTTGCGACTTGAATTATAAATTATGTTATGGTTCATGCCATGATAAAGCTTATGGTTTTTCATATGTCACTCTTCTTTACTTGAAAAGGCCATAATGTTATTGTTCGTGTATCTTACAATTTATAATAAGATTATGTTTGCGATTCAAAAAAATGAGTACGATTTACAATTTGAATCTTGATTTGGTAACATAGTTTTATGTATTTAGTTCTAATAATCATCATTGATCTTGCTCACAGCCCGATACGTTTCCCAAGTCTTTGCGTGGCTATGTTGAAAGAGCCTTGGCTCGTTGTAAAGACGATGATAAGCAAATGGCAGCATGCCAGGCTGTCATGAAAGAGGTGAGTTTCACTTTTATTTTGGAAGAAGTGAACAGAGAAGCTATTATTTCTTTTAGCTAGTTATCATATCTTTACTTCTTAGAATTCTTCTCTTAATGATTTTCCTAGATTTTCTTTGCCCCTTTTCTATGTTTTGCATAAAGTCAAACGATACTTTTGAGTTTTGAATTATTCTTCTTGATAATCTTGACAACTAATTTCTGCAACAGCCTAAATAGTTTTCTGTTTCTTTACAACCTTGGGATCAAACAGAATATGATGTCTTGGTCTTGGTCTTTTGTTATTCTGAGCAGAAGCTTCCAACTTTGAAATTGTATAAGCTGCCTGTATTTCGATAAGTGACTTTGAAGGCATCATTGAGAAAAAGTGAACAAATTTATACACACAACATATAGCATTGATGGCAAGTGATAGCTGATATATAAGTACATAGAAATAGACACACACATTGTTCACTGTTCACAATTAACAAATGGAAAATACAAAGAAGAGACATATTGTCACCATAATTATAAAAGCCCTATATTTCTTTACCGTATCTTAAACTAAATAAGTTTTCTCTTCAAAGTACTGCGTCCAAATGTACTGAAATGACAAGGAGAAATGTTTAGCAAGTTCTTGAATTAAATTTCATTCTCATCTGTCTAATTTTTCTCTCCCTTTATGTGATCTATAATGAATAAGATAGTTATCAAAGAAAACGACAATATATTGGGTATTAGTTGTAATAGAAAATGGAATGTTAAAACAAAGCCTGGAGTAAGCCTGGAGTTGTTAAAGGTGTCTTTGTTACGACTTCCATTCTGCTTCTATGAAACTGGTACTTATACAACTATACTTCCTTTTGGTTGGTACCATAATTCTGTTTTACATGCAAATTACTGAAAAATCAGATTGCTCACCAGAACCCAATTTGAATGTTCTCAGTGCTCCATTAATCATCTGTTGACAGTGCGTGATATAACATTACAGAAATTCATTCTAGTTTCTAATCAGAAAACAGAAGCATTAATTTTCTGAGATATACTTCCTGAAAACTATAAATGGGGATATTGGAATACATTTTTATTTGCTCTCTGATCATCAGCTAGCCAGGACAGGTTATACCTATTTTAGCATGTTAGTTTACAGGGATTTCTCTGTTGTGAATAACAGGCATTTAATTTTTTGCACTGTGTAGTTGTGGTTCTTGTTTCCTTTCACTTGCGTTGACAGTATTAGTTTTTTTTGCAGGATTTCATTTGCCAGTTTTTTTCCCATAATCTTATCATACTCCTTGACTTCCTTTTCAGATGATCACCAGGGCTAGAGCTGATTGTACCCTACACACACGAAATTGGGATATGGAACCGCTTTTCCCAATGCCAGATGCAGATGCAGTCATTAAAGAGTAAGCTGTTTCTTGTTTACTTTCTCCAAGTTGGCATATCATTCTTATTAATCTGTGAACTTCAGGTGCTTCTTATTTTTTGATCTTCAAGATTTGATAAACGTAGTCTTTTTCTTCAATTCTTTTAACTGGATTAAATATACGCATGTAAGAAGCCATATGATGTTAGATGTTATCAAATGTGAAGATAACTCTGATTCAATTCAGACTGTCTGCAGTGCAGGGGCTCACCTGTGTTTCTATTACAGATAAACTGTTGTTATTCCCCCCAAAGGGAATGGTAGTTAAAATATTTAGTGTTGCCAAGCACTTATAGTTAACATAAAATTGCAGAGTATCTGTATCGTTCATTTAACTGATGAATGGAAATTTTTTTAAAAGGGTAACTTTCTTCCGTTGGTTTCTTTTTTACAACTAAGCTACTGCTCAAATTTTCTTTGCTGTCAATTTGGAATGAACTTTTTGTACAGCTGTATTCCCTCCTACCCTTTAAGCTAAATTTCTGCTCCTCTATCATTCTGACAGTTTTATCACTACCTGGACCCACCTATAACTAATACTGTAACTACTCTATTGCTTTGCCTCATTTTTTTTCTTCCGTCCACCCGTTTCACATTGAAGTTCAACCTTGTCATCAAATTGGATTGGGAATTCCCCGTGAGCATGCAATTGCACATGCTAACTGAAAAATTGTTTTTAATGAATTTCTGCTGATGCAATCCACCCGTCTCATACTAAACATTTTAGAATATTCCGCATTGTTGAATTTGTACTGAAGTTTTTAGGTAGTTAAAGTAGAGATTTTATGCAAAATCGGAAAAGGGAAGTAAAGTCCTAAATCGTGCAATTGTAATACTAATTGTAAGATTACGTGTCATTTACAAAACTCATATGCATATAAAATAGTATAAGCATGGAAAAGAAAACCTTTAATCACACTTGAAATACTTGTAAGTTTAAATTCATAAGCATAGCTCACAAGATGAGTAAATCCTTAAACACCCTTTAAATACATATATAAATTTAAATTCATTCATAAGTATAGTTGCATAAGAAAGTAGCATGAGATTTTGAAGCAATTTGGAAATGAAATAGAAGGGGCACGGGGAAGAAGATGAAACTGTCTTAGAAAAAATAAAGAGGAATGGTTGCAGGGAAGGAAAGAAATGATGCAAGTGGGAGAGGCGTTGTGGAGATGTCAGCGGCTCTTCCAATCTTATTGGTTGTAATTGCACTTACTGCAGTGTTTTTTCGAGGCACTAGTTACTGCACAGTTAATGAGCACGTGTTCTTAAGCTTTTAAAAACCCTATTTTAAAATCTGGCCTTATTCTGACCCACGTATTGAAAACAAACCGTCTTCTAACCTGAGCATATGAGCGAGTATTCTGCTGACCGGCAATTGGAACGTCTTCTTCCCCAACCCTAGTGCGCTGCCTTCTGTCATTGCGCTAGTGCAACCACAATTGCAGAAATGTTTCAAAGATCGTAGATCATACAATTCCACGACTAACAGGGGTGATTCCACTCAATTCCACCAAAACACGATTCTGTGTATACCGCTAAGGGCAAGCATAATTGCCAAATTGTGCACTTAATGATTTAACAATTCTGTGTATCCATCCATTTCATTTAATATTATACCATGAATTTTTATATTTAATTATCTTGCTAATCAATGCATATTTTTTTGAAGTAATTCAATTATAGTAACATTCTTATTCTGTAATCATTTCATGCAGTAATTCACTGTCTTCGGCCCATGATTTTGTATTGCCAAAATCTAAAAAAAGTCCTAGACGGTCTAAAAGTAGATGGGAGCCATTACCAGAGGAGAAGCCGGTTGACCATCCATTGCCAATAAGTAATGATACTGTAAAATACAGTAGTTGGGTACCTAATGAAAAGGATAGAAAGGTATTTATAGATATATTATGTCATGATTTTTAATGTTCCAGCTAGATATCCTTTTAACCTTCTATTTATGAATCTTGTGTGGAGTACTACAGCAGTTAACAAGTTCATTTTATTTTTCCCCACTATTTGGATTGTTAGTTTTATCTTTTCATGCTGTTTTACTTTTAGTCTATATTTGAGGCGCATGTTTATGATCAAGGATGATGCCTTTTGTCTATACTTTTAGTCTATATTGTGATCTGGATGATGAATTTTGTTTTCCCATTTTGGTTAAACGAAATGCATTACATTGTGTCGTACGAATGCAAGTATGATAAGATTAGGATTGAGACTGCACTATGGTCCTACTGTTAATATGATCTTTGCTTTACTTAGAACGTTCAATACAAATTTTTTTTTTTGTCTTTTTGACAAATAGGAGGATCATGTGCTATGGTTTGATTTTATTCTTCAACTCGTCTTGTATATTTTGCAGTTTTTATGGTGCCTTTTGTGAGTGAGCTAATACCAACTGAAAAATTTATGGATGCACCTTTCTTCTTTTATAATATAGAAACTAGTTTGTTTGTGCAAGAGCTTTTCAATTTGCTTCCTATTATATTTGATCTCTAACACGCTAGTTTAGTTTTTTACTATTCTTTAAGACATGGCATTATTGACGAATAGCACAACATTTCTTCTATGTTAGGTCCTGAGTTTGGTTGTCTTCCTTACAAGAACCTCATAGATTTATTTTTGCATGTCTGTCCTATAGATTTATTTTTGTGTGTCTCCTCCATGTTCTGTTTAGATAGGCTTTTTCATCTGAAAGTACTCTGATCTCAATCAGGAGCAGAAGTACCTAATCTCACTTATGAAGAAATATATACCAGTATAATTAATCTTCCTGATCTAGTACAAAAAATATGCACGTTCTCAGAAGTTTCATTAATAGAAACTTGTTTCCATGAGAATAAGAGTCATTAAAAATAAAACTTAATATTAATTTAGGGATATTTTAGGAATGTCATAATTAATTATAGTGAAAGTAGTTAAATTTGCATATATTTGTGACCACCTAAATATGGATATTTTTTGCTTATACTCGAGACTAGAATGGACTATAAGTATTATCCCCTTAAGGTGCTTTTCAAGTACAATTTTGTTGACAATGATAAGTATTTCTCATTTAGTTACATAGAGGATTTTCTTTAATTCACCTTAATGAATGGCACGCAGGTGGTAGTGGAAAACAAAGAGAGCAAGGAAGACAGTTGGAGGAATGCAAAATTTTCTCCATTATTTCAGAGAATGTCAAGTAAGGCTCCCCAAAGGCCATTTAAGAAGCAGCGTCTTGCCGATGTATCTATTGCTCATGAAAATGGTAATGCATCTAGTGACAGTGATAAGGAACAAAGTTTGGCAGCATATTATTCTGCTGTTGTTAATGATACACCAGAGGAATTGAAAAGACGTGAGATTCGTTCTAAGCGATTTGATTTAGGGCAAACACAACGAACAGAAAATAACCACTCAAGGAAAAAAAATGCTAGAGCTGGAAACTTGTACAATAGAAGGGCTAGTGCTATGGTGCTTAGCAAAAGCTTTGATGATGGTGTCAGCAAAGCTGTTGAGGATATTGACTGGGATGCTCTTACTGTAAAGGGTACCTGCCAGGAAATTGAAAAGAAATACCTGCGCCTAACATCGGCACCAGATCCCGCCACTGTAATATTTCCTTTTAAGAATTTAAATGGCTTTTCACTATTTCTGTCTTTCTTATTTCTACCTCCTTTACTAATAATCTCAATACAATATTATGAACTTACAGGTAAGACCTGAAGAGATTCTTGAAAAAGCACTATTAATGGTTCAAAGTTCCCAAAGGAATTACCTTTACAAATGTGACCAGTTAAAGTCTATTCGCCAAGACCTAACTGTGCAAAGAATACACAATCAACTAACAGTCAAGGTACTACTAAGTCTTGATCTGTTCTGGTCACATTCTTTCGCCATTTCTTATTCATAATATTTCTCAGTATGTGTTCTGTACATATCTTTAAATTTCCCTATCCATATAAAAATTGGTTTTTGACGGAACATAATGCATCTTTTGATTCCTGTAATCGGCCTCATCTAATGGGGAAAGGCTTTGGTGGTGGTTGAAGTATATTATGTGCACGTATTTTCCATTGCTCCTTAACTTGTTAACGTTTGAAATGATGTTTCAGGTGTATGAAACGCATGCCCGGTTGGCACTGGAAGTTGGGGACCTGCCTGAATATAATCAGGTTAGTTTTGTATGCTATTTGAAGAGACTGCTGTACATTAATTATTTTATGCGTTGATTATATTTTACTGGTCTTGTAGCTAACATATTTTTTTCTGAGATTAGGGATTATATATTTCATTCAATGTATGTATAAGTCTTTCTATATAATGAAGTCTTTCTACAATATATGAAGTCTTCTGAGATTAGGGTCTATAATGGAGTATTTCTATATATTGAAGTCTATTGAGCAAATGCTTATGTGATATGCATCTAGAGAAAAATTGTTAAACTCGAGATTCTACCTTGAATCGGGCATTATAAAGTTTGTAACTCGAGGATCATAACACAAATCATAAGATTAAGATCCTACTAATCCTACTTGAAATACAAAATTATACTTATACATACATTAATGCATAAAATATATATAGACAAATATTAGTTAATTACGTTTGAAAGTTGTAAAAGTAGGTAAACAGTTAATTAGAGTGATACAGGGAGGTTGGATTTTGTTTTAAAAACCGGGTCAAACCTTACTCAGAACCGAACAGCTCAAAACCCAGTCGCACAAGGGCGAGGAGAATCTTTCGATCACACCTCCAAACTCGCGATCCCACAGATCTCTTATGACTTTCTGTTCCTTGGTGTAGCACAGCATGTAAACATGGTCGAAGATCGTAAAATTGCTCATGATTTTACGAGCAACTTTGTGATCCCAACAACTAGGTCAGAGCCAATTTTACATTAGAGTTTTGTTGTGGATGTGTGTTTCAATGTGCGTAACATATTAAGTTATCTATGCGGGTGTGGGACTTATGTAACAATGTAAACTGGATTATTAAATTATAGATTTCAAATCAGTAAAGGAATCTAGGTCATTTTGTTTTGGAAATGGCATCGGTCTATTATAGATGGTATTTAACTCAGTATTATTGACGTTAAGATATTGACTCCATTTGTATGATTTCAGTGTCAATCCCAGCTAAAGGCTCTTTACGCCGAAGGGATTGAGGGGTCGTACATGGAATTTGCTGCTTACAACTTGCTTTGTGTTATTATGCATTCAAATAATTACAGAGAACTCCTATCATCAATGGCAAGGTGAACCCCATGTTTCAATGCTTTACATAGCTCTCATGTTTTCGAAATTCTTGGCAGAAATTTTATTATGTATAAATTTCTGTGCTATTGTTAATACTGTAATGTATACTGGGTTATTGTGTTGTCTGTGGTATAGATTATCCGTCGATTCAAAGAAGGATGAAGCTGTAAAACATGCCCTGGCAGTTCGTGCAGCTGTAACTTCGGGAAATTATGTTGCATTCTTTAGATTGTACAAAGCAGCTCCTAACTTAAACACATGCCTTATGGGTGAGTATTGACAATTTCTTTTCTGCACGTGCATCTGATTGGTAACATATATTATAATATTATAGGGTGGTGGGGGTGACTAACGGAATTGTTGTCTCTACTTTCTACAGATCTATATGTTGAAAAGATGAGGTATAAAGCCGTGACCTGCATGTGCCGATCATATCGGCCTACCTTGCCTGTTTCTTACGTCTCTCTGGTTCTTGGATTCTCAACTGCCGTTCCCTCAAATGAAGCAAACGATGAGAAAGAGGCTGCCGCTTTGGAAGAGTGTTCAGAATGGTTGAAAGCGCATGGTGCCATCATAATAGCTGATAACAACGGAGACATGATGCTTGATACAAAAGTATGTTTGATTCTACTTTTTGGATTAGCTGTAGGTTTTAGTCTAAAGCTGAGTTTTTGCATTTGATCTCATACCATTTTAAGAGTTGGCCTAGACTTGTTCTATGATCATGCTTATCTGCATTAATTTAGAATTTCCAGTCACTCATCAACCCATATTTCAATAGATCATTTCCTAACCAATGTTTATTATTGCAGGTCTCATCCACTAGTTTGTTTGTGCCAGAGCCAGAGGATGCTGTTTCCCACGGAGATGCCAACCTTGATGTTAATGATTTTTTAGCAAAGGCACCTTTATAGCGAAAAATGTTGCAACCGTTATTGTATCTGTAGACTTGTTATATTGCATTCAGAATAGAAATAGGTTGTCTATTGAGTCCCAGAACCAAGTCTCATATCTGGGATCAGTGTAGTGGAAGTATACAATATGAAAGGAAAAAATAATACATGTTGTAATGGCCTTTGATATATCCATTTGTTTTGGAGTGGTAACTTCTTTTCAGGCAAAGGACAGAACTATAGATGTAATTTAATTCAGAATATAAGTAATAAAAGCACATTAAAACCTCCATTTCATAGTATCTTCTTCAACTGTATAATAACAAATGAAGCAAAACAATTGCCAAATGAAGACGACTTAAATAGGGGTGTTCAAATTCAAATCAATTCAAATAAAAAATTGATTCAAAAAATTGAAAACCGTAAAAAAACCAAAATTTATTGAATGTATTTGGATGTTACTTTGTGAAAATCAATTAGATTTTAGATTAATATTTTAAAACCGTTTCAAATCAAATCAAATAGTATACATGTATTTTTATATTTATTTATTTTTTATTAGTATGATATGTTACATGAATAATTATTTGATGATGATAATTTTTTTAATAATATTTATTAGCTTGATACAATCTATTTATTTTTATTATTTCAACCATAATTAAACATCTCATTTTGTAATATTAATTTTTAATATACAATATGTTATATATTATTCAAATCTATGATTTATGTATAAAATTGAATCGGATTGAATTTTTTAATTTTTTTTAATATATCATCTAAAATCGAACCGCAAGTAAATTTATCATTAAATCAGATGGTTTTTTTTTCCTGCCACCTATAACCATTTGAAAGCAGAAGTAATAGTGTTTTTTCATTGTACAAAATGAAGCTCAACAAATAATAATGATATAACATAACATATAACAAGTAGCATTGGTGTAGATTTGAAAAGGAGAAAAAACATTAGTTTGTTGAAGAAGAGTCAGGCCAAACACTGATTTTCTCCTTCTGAAACTTGACATAGATAGCAGTAAGTGCAGCCATAAAATAAAACTGAATAAGCACAGTGCCAGGTGTATGGTAATTGATAACGCTTTTCCCTGTTGCCAATTCCACCAGTAACAGTGCCGTTAACCCAAGTATCGCAACACGACCGTTCAACCTCTCGCTGAATTTGCTAAACCCTAACTCCACCTTCAATCCACCGGAAACCGGTTCTTTTAACGCCACCGGCGGTAAGTACACGCCGGACCCTGGTGCTGACCCTGAAGTAGCCTTACTCGACTTACGGCTCTTACGAGCTTCGGCCTTCTTGCCAGTGCCCCTCCGGTTACGGAGGCGGAGTTTGTTAATGCGGTCATCGAAGTCTTCTCCGGTGGCGGTTATCTCGGAATCGGGTTTGGATGGGTCTGAATTAGAGGGTGGTGTTTGAGGTTCATTGGCTCGTGTGGTGAAGAGAAGAAGGTTCCTGCGGATAAGAGGTTTGTAAGAAGAAGATAGCCGAAATGGGTTTGAGAGTTGCACAGAAGCTGATGCTATGTTCGCCATTTTTCTATCCTTTCTCACTCTTAGGTTTCGGATAACAACACTTTAGTTTGTGGTATAGTTCTCATTCCCCTTTCACTCCGAGAGAGAAAAATATTTTGATTTTTTATTTGGAAAATTAGATTTTTTTTTAATAATAACTATGTTTAAAAAAAAAAATATAAATAATTAATATTTTAGAGAAAATTACGTAAATAATTGTGTTTCTGAAAATGTTACTATGCAGTAGCCATTTTAGATGATGCATGCTTTGGAACTTTGGTCTTACATGCCATCTCATTTGGTGCATACATTTCCTGTATGTTATGTTATGTGAGATGACGCATACATTATAATTTTTAAGAGAAGGCGCCATCTGAGATGACTCCTACATGCAAATGTGCTTTCTATAAATAAAACACATTTCTCCATCATTCTTCACACTTTCTCACATTCTCTTCTCATTTTCTCTCAATTTTTTATATTATGACATCTCCCATGATTTTCACCAGATGAGTACGTTATTTTCTCGGCCACCAAACCTCCAATGAAAATGAAATTTTGACATATTCGTTCCATGGATAAACTGAAGAGAGAGTTGATGCGGTGGTTAGACGGAGACATCGTAGCTGGAAAACAAATTAGAAGGATCCAGAGAAGAAGAACATCCACCTCAATTGTAAATGGAAGACCTCATTATTGGTTGAAGGATGTCAAAACAGACATAGACATAATGGTGATGATGCACGGATTCAATTTGACGATTGTAATTTCGTAGATATTCTATCGTGTTGTTGATGTTATATTTACGTGTTGTATTTGTTGTTGTTTTAGTCGTGATGTGTTTTTATTTGTTATTTGTGTATGGTTTGTTGTAACAAACACACTTAATAAAAAAAATTCGTTTAGATCTATAAAAAGTGCAGATAGTTTGCATATAATATTTATGTCGTCGAGCTAGTAGCACGAGTGAGATAATTTTTTCAATTGTGTCTGATCTGACGACATAAACCACACTTTCTTTCTAGCTTGTCAAGGGAGTCCATTTCATTTGTGATACGCTTGCTTTTGGAACGACCTTTTTTATTCCTCCACATTTGATCATTGTGCCAAACTATTTCCTCTTCGTACGCAAGCCAATAATCCAGTTTCACTACCATTGGAAAGCCATTGTTGTATACGTTGAGAAATAGAAGTAGTAATGCATCTTGATGAGCATACATACATGTCGTAATGACGTGAGAGTAAGTCATACGAAAGGCTTGAAACTTTCCACAATCGCACAAACAAGATGGTAGTATAAACCTATACTCTTGTCTTGGCAACCCCTCATTGTGATCGATTGTCTCTTTGACAATGAAGTTGTGGTTATGTCTGTCAAACCTTATAACAAGATGGGTGTTGACTTTGGCATTTTCTGCCTTAATAAATTTCATGCAACTTTCACTCCATAGTTGTCCCGATTGTAACACCGCGTTCTACATTTCACCTCTTTTTGCAAACAACGAAGCCATCCTAAAATATGTTGATTTCACTAAAGCGGTTACTGGGAGGTTTCATATGCCTTTGAATACACCGTTCATTGATCCAATAATATTTGTTGTTATGTGGCCCCATCATTGTCCATTATCATATGACCTCGTCATTTCCCCACTGAAATATTATCAACCTACCTACATGCATCCTGATTTGACAATCTGATCTCGTTGCGATAGTGCTTGAACGAAGGTTGTGTTAATGCACACCCACGTTCATAACTGTTTTTCAAAGAGCCCTGTCTTTGATCTTCCGCACGAAATTTTGTACAATATGTCTAACTCAGTAGACATGCGTAGAAGGGAGGTCATGCCAACCATTTGCAGGATTATTATATGCACTCTCAATAGAAGCATGTCTGTCGGAGATCAAGCAAAGATTGAGTTGTGGAGCCACGTGTGTTCGAAGATTCTTGAGAAAGAAACTCCAAGTACCACCAGTCTCTCCCCGACTAGAGCAAAGGAAATTGGGAAAATGTTATTATTGCCATCTTGTGCAACTACCATCAGTAGCGTGCCTTTGTATTTCCCGTACAACCACATTTCATCTATCTGAATAATAGGTTTGTACGACGCAAACCCTGTGATGCAAGGTTGAAAATCCCAGAACAGTCGATTGAATATTCCATTATCGTTGACACAAGTACCGTCTTGGGCATACACCGACAATATTTCCATAATATAAACAGTTCCAGGAGCATACGTTCAGAGTGCATGCAGGTAGCGCGATAGTTCTTTGTATGACTCCCCCCAGTTTCCATATACTTTTTCAATCGCCTAGGTCTTAGCTAACCATGCCTTTCTGTATGAGGAAGTATAATTGTATACTGTAGTGATGTGAGAGATTATGGTTTTCACCTTCAATGACGGATCATTGCTGACGAGAGGTAAGATTTCTTGACATATTAGATCATAATTTAGTTTATGATAATTTTGTGATTGAGTAGAATTAACGCATGTGTGGGTGGATATAGAACCTATCACCCAACAATCACTTCTCATCTTGTATGATGCGGTGAGTCTGAACATATAATCTGGGTGGACACACTTGATTTTGTACCTATCTGGATTTACTCAATCTACCTTAAAATCGACATAGTTTATCATGTGAAACTTTTTTATAGCTCACACACAATCTTCTTTTGAATGAAATTTGTCTTTCTCTTTTAAATTTTCATCTGACTGCATATACGGGTTGAAGAAAACATCTAATGACGATTCATCTCCACCCATGTTGAAGTTTGTCATGTGCGAAGGTGGTGTGTAGATATCATTTGGATGTATTTCAGGTAGCACATTGTCTTTGAAATCATTGTTGACCATGTTGTCAAACTCTAACTCTTCATCTTCCCCTTCTTCATCAACGACATCTACTTTAGCTTGTTCGTCTTTGATAGGATCAATCACTTGTGATTGAGTTGGTTGTGACAACTGAGGCTCTTGGAGCATAATGTACAACTTAATCGAGTCGTACCCAGAATACTCCTGAGTAGAAAACATATTTTGAAGGTCCTCGTCATCTTGAACCTCTACCTTATAAAATATTATTTGGTTCTCACAAAAAAAATCAGATTTTGGTAGAAGATGTATGACACTGGACCTCGTTCAAGTTTGACCTCTAGTCATTTTTTGAAATACGAAAAATTGGCTTTTCTATTTAAACAAAATCAGATGTTATCAGTGTTTCTAAATAAAAATCCAGAGACATCACAATTGTACGTCTCACCATTAAAATATGCACTGATAACATATTATGGTGCAAAGGACATTGTGTTAGTGTGTTTGAGTGTTTGAGTATGTGAGATTTTGTTTGAGTGTTGATAACATAAGGTACATGCAGGAGAATAAATAAGGTGCAACTGAGAAGAACAAGACAAAATTGCTCTGCCAATGAGGCGCCAATTGGGATGACGAATCCTCCTAGTATTGGCCTGATGCGCCAATTGGGATGACCCA